ATAGACCGGATATCACTCTGACACAGATGCTAGTTCTGATAGAGGTGGTTTTCAATCCGCCACTAAACACTACTCCACTACATCTCAAGATGTTCTACATTTGTCTGACAGGTTTTGTAAACTTTTCAGACTGTAGAGGCTGATGAAATACAAATTATGTTAATAGAGTTTTAAATACAACAATTAAAAATGTGTTAAAGTCAAGTTGCTCAGATTGGTTTAAATTCACTCCATCATTCTATTACAGACAATGTGTGTTTGATAGTCAAACCTCTTGTGACAAACAGCTCAAAGAAACTCTTTGATCTTAATTGATTAAAACATGATGTGATCATATTTAATCATAGTGTTGTGTTTACAGAAGAGATATAATATAGTTGTATATAATATGAGCAACAATTTGGACCTGCTCAAAGATCTGGAGCCAAGATTAGGGACCACTGTTTGTATATTAACTGTTAAATCACTGACAAGTAATTAGTGGATGAAAAAGTATTCAGATCCTTCACTGCAGTAAACGTACTAATACCATACTGGTGAAACAATAATCCACTACGAGTAAAATACCTGCATTCAAAACCTTAGTCAATGTTATTATCAGCAAAATGTACTTTAAGTGCAGAAAGTAAAAGTACCCGTACAGTAAAATGTACATTATTTGCCCCTGACCTGCAATCTGAAAATCTCCCCCTAGCATCTGTGTCAGAGTGATATCCGGTTTATCCAAAGACGAAGATTGTAACCAATTAGATGTAGAGATACAATGGAGACTGGGTCCGCCCACTTACTGTCAAAAAGAAAAACTACTCGCGAGCGAGCAGGTAAAAGACTTGCGAGCGAGCAGGTTTAAGCTTCGCGAGCGACTTTTGCTCGCGCGAGAGTGAATTCTGCTCACGGAGTGACGTAAAAGCGCTCGTCAAAGTAAAATACGCGCGCGGCTGTTTGATTTTCGCGCGCGCATGGATCTCATTTGCGCTCTCGGATTTTGACAGTGATTTGCCTTCACACACGTGACTGATTCAGGAAATGGTTCACAGGTCTCGCGTGCGATTCGAAATCTAAGGGGCAGCGAAACGCAATGGATCCCCTGTCACATTTTGTGTACTTCGGACTTTATTGCGCTTTTGTTTGCAAACTATTCTCTGTACCCCAGCTTCATCTGTGCCATGTGAAAGGGTGTTTTCTAAAGCAGGCGAAACAATCTCAAAAAAAAGAAACCACCTGAAGCCCAGCACTGTGGAAAAGTTGTTATTTTTAAATACAAATGAATAAAATGTCCCTAGTAACACAAGCACATTCACATCACAAACCTCTCCCCAATTTGTTTCCACTTTCCCTTTTGACCCTGCCATTGTATCATAAAGACAGACACCATATTAATAAGTTCATAAGTTATGTATTGGCATCACAAACATCATTCATTCATTTATTCAATTCGATGCTTCACACACCAAAGCCATGGCGTCATTATCATCACTCTGTCTGTTTTACACAGTGGTGTATAAAGTACTCAAAAGCCATACTTGAGTAAAAGTAAAGATACCTTACTGGAAAACTACTCCAGTAAAAGTAAAAAGTCACCTATTAGAATACTACTTGAGTAAAAGTCTTAAAGTATCTGATATTTATTGTACTTAAGTATCAAAAGTAATTTTCTGATATTAAATGTACTTAAGTATTGAAAGTAAAAGTACAAGTAAATGCTGTTAATAAAAAAGCAAAGTGTCAGAATTATGAAGTTTATTCTTTTAAGTGCTGTGGCCACCATGACCAAGGACAAGGAGTTGTGTTGAACATAATTGGGTTGGCTGTGATCCATCCAGGACCAACAATGTTCAACATAATATATTGTACATAAGTATACTTTTGCATCTACTATGAACTTATCATCATAATTCTCCGAAAAGCAATATGACACTATGAAGGAGTTGTAACAGTGCGTTTATAAGTATGCTCATTCCGACTAGAGGATGTAGAGGGCAAAAGCATAATATTGTGTTCAGCAACAAATATCCACTTGATGCATCAGGTCAGTGTTGTGAGAAAGGACACCTGCCTTGTAAACTCCTATGGGCCTGATTTGAACACAATAGGCAAAGGTTTTGCTCAAGCTAGCTATAGCATATAGCATCCTGGGCATCACTGGGAATCTAAACACCGCGGCTTTGAGAGCACTTGTTTGCAATTGCGCATTAACGTGATTAACCAACAATTTAACTTGCAAGCTAGGACCACTAGTTCGCCAAACCTGCTTGCTTGCAGTCTCTGTTCCACCACAGTCCCCGACGTTGGTCTCATGATTCATTTTGTTTCTAAAGATAGATTTGATTTTGTAGTGAGTAACGAAGGTTTCAGGGGCAATGTATCAGAGTAAAAGTATCAGTTTTCTTTGCAAAATGTAGTGAAGTAAAAGTAAACAGAAATATAAGTAGTAAAGTAAAGTACAGATATCCAAAAAAACGACTTAAGTACAGTAACGAAGTATTTCTACTTCGTTACTATACACCACTGGTTTTACATTTATTGTCCACTTGATGGCACATTAGAGCAAATGAAGCACCATGAAGCTTCGGCCCACGAGTGAACCAATTGGATGGAATGCTTCATGAAGCTTCATCTCACCATCACTAGTTTCATTTATTTGGCTATTCAAAGCTCCCACCATCAATCACACCAGTGTCTACTAGTCTCCACTCGTTCACCCGACACAACAAAATGAGCCCCCTTTTATACACCTGATGAATTAGACCAGACAGACCATCCACAGGTAAGTATATCCATAAGAATATATGTACAATAAATAGTCACATGATTTCACCAACCCCAAAGTTATCAATAATAATTTACTAATATTTACCATCCCTATAAATAGAGTAAATTATAAAGAAATAATTAATCTAAATAAACAGAGCAACACATATCGTGACTTCCCCCCTACCCGCTTCCTGTGGTTGGTATGTCCCGGAACCATAAATCGGTGCTCGAGCCCCCAGGGAAGTATTTTGCCCGAACACACTGGGAAGAGGAAACAGGCAGAGGTGACTTAACCTTTGTCTTTGCAATCTATACAGAATATTATTCTGCCACATAACTAATTAGACAATCAAGCCTGTTCAATCAGTCATTAACTGCCGTTGTCTATTTGTTTGTTGGCAGGGAGAACAAAAAGGAACATCTCTTTGTCCCAGCTGTGCACATGGCTCCCAGCATTCACAGTCCTACAATAAATCTATCCAATAACATTGTGTGTGGGCATTTTCCTTTGTCAGCACATCACATTTCAAATACATTTCAAATACTGTCCGCAGCATAGGTAACTGCAGTGCGTCGTTACACACCTACACACACACACACACACACACAGGCCTGAGGCGATCAGCCTACTCTGCATTTATGTAACAAGGCTGTCATGGCCTCTTTCAGTCCTTATCAGTCACTCCCAGACGTAGTGGAAAATCGGAGCAGCCACACACACACACAGTCCACCATACAGCTGAGTGAACATCTAATGTAAGCCATTGGATGCAGTTGTGCTGGATGAGAGAGACTGATGTTGCTGATAGTAAATGAGGTGTTGTGCTAACCCTGCTCTTGATTGTGGAGTGCTGGGAACACTGTGTAACACTGACAACATGTCTGTCGGTGATAATATGGATTTAGTTCTAGCATCCTTCAAGTAGTCTTGTGTTTCTGGCCTCACACAAGAAATGCAGGAACTACAATGGCGATGTGTTTGTCAGTTGGCCTTCACAGGTGCTAATGTATAATCAAATACTGTCAAAAGTTTATAACACTCAAAGGAGCACCACACCTTGCAGTGTATTACTGTGCAAACAATGAATTGTGTTGCCATATCAGTGAAAACATACAGCAACAGGTCTTTATTCACAGACATAGTTTTGTGAGTGTTTAGAGAACTGGCTTTAAAGAAATGGAAGCGTAATTTGGAAAATGTTTAACGTGCACAGCTAAAATATGTATTTCCCGAAAGTTTTGTGGGTTAAACATGGAGCTGGAGTGAGGGCGTAATTAGCCTAGCTTAGGATAAAGATTAGAAGCATTGGGAAACAGCTAATCTGGCTCCGTCCAGTTCAAAAATCAACGTGATCTACGTGAAATGTATGCGACCTCTTAACAGTGCAATATCATGTTTTGGGGTAAAATAAGTATGTTTCCTACGTAATTTTAACTGAAATAAACTCTGACTTTTAGTTACACTGGGACACAAACACAGGTCTCCTGGGTGAAAGTCCTGTGTTTGCCCTATCTGTCAACTTGGACCCCCTCACCTCATGGACTTTGATTAAGACCTTATTCTGTTGGACCTAAACATTTGTGTCTACCTCGACAAAGGATCCTAAATGACTTTCCATTGGTATTGTTTAAGTGGTGCTGGCACATCATTTTAACATATGGTGTGCCGCCACCAGGAGACATTACGTCTGTGTATTTATATCTGTTTAAATTTATAGCCCCCGACATCAAGTCGACCACAGATGGCAGTGTAGGTTATTGTGGCAGGTGAAATGCTGGTCAGGATAGTTGCTGAAACAATAGGGTCCCATATCATCCTTCAGCTGCTGCACTCATGACAGTGCAGTCAGGAGACATTGTGATCACACTCTCTGGCTGTTAAAGGAAGTGGACTCATTTCTATTGTCTTTCAAAGTGTGGATGGTGTGTACCAGAATGAAGAGCTGAACAGTTCTAGTGAGCACAGCTGCTTTGGGTTTTAAATCTGTTCATTTATGTCTGTTCCAAGAGGCAATTGTCAGCTACATGTACCACACTTCTAAAGATTTGCTGTCATTTTAAAACTACATTTGAATCATGCAGTAGCCTATACTCATTTTCCAACAGTTACTTCAATTTCTGTTACATTTTGCTGAATTGTTCAACAGATTGCTCTAAAAGCAACAGTAGAGAAGAGGTATGAAAACAATGGGAATGTGAACATGTTAAAACACCAATGTTGTCTTTGCTTTGCTTTTTTTGTTCAGATCAAACAATTTCTACTTGGCTATGCTGCTTTTTATGCTGTTTCTGTGTATGCTGCCCACCGTCTTTGCCATAGTGAGGTACAGACCGTCACAGCACTGTGGACCATTCAGGTAAAAACATAGTTTATAGTGTCAAAAGATGTGTGTTGAAAGGAATTGCTGCGATTTATATTCCCTATCAATGGAAGGATGGACGTCCTGTAAAGGCTGTCTGCCTCCTCCTATTCTTGAAAAAAACGAAAGTTACGAATGTAACTACGGTTCTATGAATCCTGGATGACCGCCAGAGGCAGTGCTTCACACTGGATATCTTCTGTCTCGCGCATGCGCAGGTCGAATATTTATACCAAAAAAGTCACCTGTGACCTCGGATGACCCCCGTCGTCTATAAGTTCCGGTGTCATCCCGAGTTCAGTCCTATGGAATCTTCTCGCGAGTTCACGGGATTCCGAGTGACCAAGAACTCTGGCGGTCATCCAGGATTCATAGAACCGTAGTTACATTTGTAACTTTCGTTCTATTTCATCCTTACTGACCGCCAGAGGCAGTGCTTCACACTGGATGACTTATGCCAAAAGAGTAACGAGGAAGCACAGTAACTACCTCGTATAGCTCCGGCAGAGAAAATTGGCCAAAGAACCCTCCCCAGTGGGTGAGGGGTGGCAACGTTAACTCTGTAGTGTTTGGTGAATGTGCTCGGTGATGCTCATGAGGCCGTAGCACATATATCCTCCACAGGCACACCTCTCAGGGCTGCCTTTGGTGTGGAGATACTCTTGGTAGAGTGACCCTTCACCCTGGATGGCCGAGCGCAGTTGCTCGCCTCATATGTGTAGGCAATGGCCTCCACTATCCAGTGGGATAGGCGCTGTTTTCTTTTTTGAAGGAGCACAGCCCTTCTTAGGCTCACCATAACTGACAAAGAGCTGCTCCGACTGCCGTATGCAGGCGGTGGCTTCCACATAAGCTCTGAGGGCCCACACTGGGCACAGCAGCCTTGACCTCTCCTCTCCCGATGGGGGGGTCAACTTTGCCAGCTGGATAGGCTGGTTGATATGTGAACGTATCAACACCCTTGGGAGAAACACTGCATTAGGCCACAAAGTGACACCCAAGCCATCTGAGTTCCACCTCAGACATGATTCTTTCAATGACAGGGCATGCAGCCTGTCCCCACATTGAGCTGAATTGACGGCAAGGAGAAAAAACGTTTTGGCCGATAGCCATCTCGGCTCCGCCTGTGCCAGGGGTTCAAAAGGAGACAAGCATAAGGTGTCCAGTACCAAGGGTAGGTCCCATGCAGGGGATACCGGCCCTTAGCTAGGAGGGACTGTAGAAACTCAGTACAGCAGGCACGGGGCGCTGTACTGGGACCCTGTTCTGAGCCGCACACCAGTCAGAGAACCATAGTTGAAGGCGGCAGGAATTGGATTGCCAAATCCGCCCTCTAGTTGCGACAGGAGATCCCTCCTGTCGGGGAAGAACTCTGACAAGCGTTTAGCAAAATCAGAGGGAATGGTTGAAAGGCATGAAGAAGATCCTCTGGCCACGTGTGAGCCAGGGCATCTTGACCCAGAGGACTGGTCCTCTCCATCAGGGAGACCCAGTGGGGGCAGTGGGTCGACACGTCTGGATGCAGCCGCCACTCTCACGGTGGAGGCTTGTGACGGAACAGGAAAACCACAACCTGGTTCCGTTCTCCTGGTGGGTACATTGCCCACAGGCTGGTCAGGCGAGGGGCCTCCCAAGTCAGAAGAGCACGGTGATCCCTGTAGCAACTTCTGCAGATCTGGTGCCCCATTGATAGTTTATGTGAAATCACAGCAGAGGTGTTGTCCAACCGGACAAGCACATGCTTTCCCTTCAAATATGGAAGGAAGTGCTTGAGCGCTAGCTCTAGAACCTTGACCTGCCCCTGCGGTCTTTGAGCAGACAACTGCCCCCAAGCTGTCTGTTCTGTCATACTGCACCCCGCCTTGAGAGGCAGGTATCTGTTGTGACAATCTCCCGGTGGAATGGAACCGAGCCCATGGGGACACTGTTTGCCAGATATGCACTCTCCCTCAATGGGGATAGAGTGAGTAGGCACTGTTTTGATAATATTATTGCCCTGTATCTGTGCCACTTGGCATCCAAGTGAAGGCTGTTTAGCCATCTGCAAACCCAAGAGAACGACAGTTGAGGCAGCTGTCAGTTTACCCAATAGTCGGAGAAAAGGATGTAGGGCAACCGTCTGCCCCCTCGGAAGGGGGAGAGGTTGTGGTGGTTGTCCACATGCTGTGGTGACAGACAGGCCCTCATAGGGCCACACTAATGAAGGTTATGCTCTGAGAAGGGCTCAGGTAGCTCCTCTCCATGTACACCTTGAGGCCCACCGGACCACGTGAGAGAAGGTGAGCAGTGTCCTGTGGCGCCTGAAGCCGGGATGGCGCTCAGGTCAGCCAGTCGTCTAAGTACGGCAGTATGTTCACGCCCTGTGATTGCAGGGGGAAATGACAGCAGTAACACACCTTGTGAACACCCATGGGGAGATGGGAGAGTCCGAATGGAAGCACCCTGGACTGAAAGTGGCAGCCTTAAAGGGCGAAACGTAAAAACTGCCTGTGGTGATGCACCATGGGAATAGGCGTCTGTCGGGGGGCGAATATTCGTCCCCAAGTTCGGAGGTTGTCTGGGGGGGGGGCGTAGGTAGGGTTGTATGGGTAGCGGCCCGGCCTCTCAGCAGGACGCTGAGGCCTGTGTCGGCTACTAGACCGTCTAGACCAGGGTGGACATCATTCGTCCAAGTTCCCTCGACATGACCGCAAACGCCTGCAATGAAGCATCACTGAGGCTGGAGGCGGAAGCGTCGAAGTAGCCTGCTGCAGAGAAGCTGCGAGGGCAAGTATGAGGTGGGAGAGGGAGTTGTAGATACGGTGCACAGCGCTGCTGTGTCATAAGCCCTGGATAGCAGGTCATCTTTGACCCGACGTTGGGTCAAGGGCACCTGGCATCGGGCCTCAGATTCTCCTCGGGAAACTATGATGGATGCAATAGTCGGCTAAATGGCTGGCATACGTGCAAGGCCAAATTTTGCCACCTCCTACATGGCCGTCAGGGTTCGCCATCTGCTGTAAGGTGGGAGAGAGCCCTGGTGTCTCTCCAGCATGTATGCAACTCCCTCAGATATTCCTCGGAGGGAGGAACAGAAAAGGTGGTGAGGGCGGGAAGGCGCCTGAAGAAGGCACTCACAGGTGGAAGTTCCAGCTGCTGTGTATCCCACTGTAGGCATGCCAGCGCCATACAAATGATCAGGGTACGTTGAGCTGGATTCAGCTGCCCTGACAGGGGGAGGTAGACCTCACGCATCAGGTGTTCCACTTCGGCCAGCCTAGCAGACCTTACTGCTCAAGGCGTGATGCCGCAGGTCCTGCCTGAGTTCTCCGAGAGGCCCTCCCTCAGATGCTCGAAGCTAAGGCAAGAGGTCAGGGCCGTCCTCAGGCTGAAGAGGAGCTATACAGGTCCTACAGCCGGGAGAGTTTAACATGGCCGCGATTCTGGTGGAACCCTTGTCCCACTAGTTGATGCGGAATTCCAAATCAGTCTGAGCGGGAGCGCTCTGCTGAATGTTGAGAGAACAGGCAGGGGGCAGTCAGAGGGGAGTGATCTTTTCGGACACTGTCTTCACTTGGACAGTCGCTGTGGATATTGGTGACCCACCAGTTAGCCTGAGCGAGAGCACTCTGCTACTGTGGAAACAGAGCCAAAAAACAGTCCTTATGGTGAGAGGGGAGCGAGGACACTCTCTTCACTAGGACACTCGCTGCGGATATTGGTGTCTCACCAGTTAGCTTGAGCGAGAGCACTCTGCCACTGTGGAAACAGGCCAAAAAAAAACAGTCCTTACAGTGAGAGGGGAGGGAGGACACTCTCTTCACTCGAATATTTGCTGCAGATATTGGTGACCCACCAGTTAGCCTGAGCGAGAGCACTCTGCCACTGTGGAACAGGCCAAAAAAACAGTTCTTACAGTGAGAGGGGAGCGAGGACACTCCTCACTAGGACTGTCGCTTGTAAATAGTGGTGTCCCACCAGTTAGCCTGAGCGAGAACACTCAGCTAACTGTGATAGCCGTAATGTTACAAAATCAATGGACACAATCCCAGTATTAACTTAGTCTAGTTAGTGTCCCACCAGGTTAGCCTGAGTGTGGACACTGCCAGCTGCGACAGCCGTAATGCGTAAAAAGCATCAATGGGCACAACATCAATGTTGACTTAGTATAACTAGCATTCACTGAGTTAGCCTGAGCGAGAACACTCTGCTAACTGTGATAGTTGTAATGCTACAAAGTTGATGGACACAGCCCCAGTATCAGCTTTGTTTAGCTAGCTTCCCCCTGAGTTAGCCTGAGCGGGGACGCTCTGTTAACTGACAGCCGTAAGGTTACAAAGTTGATGGACACAGTCCCAGTATCAGCTTTGTTTAGCTAGCGTCCCACTGAGTTAGCCTGAGCAGAGACGCTCTGTTAACTGACAGTCGTAAGGTTACAAAGTTGATGGACACAGTCCCAGTATCAGCTTTGTCTAGCTAGCATCTCACCAAGTTAGCCTGAGTGAAGACACTGCTAACTGTGAATTATGTCAGATGTAAAAATTAAATCTCAATGGACACAATGCCAATGTCAATCTAGTCGAGCTAGTCTCTCACCTAGTTTGCCTGAGCAGGAACACTCTGCTCACTGTGATCACTCTGAAGGGCGGGCCGACAGCGTATATTCTACGCTCTCGTTAGCACGCCACTCGATTAGCTAGAGCGGGAGTGCTCTGCCAACCGTGGAAAACGAACAACGGTTATAGAAAACAATGTTAATCGATCTCACCGATTGCTGTCTTCACGACTTAGGTGGCCCTTATCAGACTGGTGAGGACCGATGATAGGGGCGTCCACTAGTCCGGGGCTCGATATCCAAACGGCGAACACACTGCTCCCTCCGAAGAGGGACAGCTTGTCGCAGCCCTTGGAGGGCGAAATCCGCAACTCCGACTGGTGGTCACAAGGCTACAGCGACAAGCTCTAATATGTCTTGATCGTAGACACATCTTTGTTTATGCTACCATGGTAGCTAACCTGCGTAGCGAGAAGATGAAAAAGGACTGAACTCGGGATGACACCGGAATTTATAGACGACGGGGGTCATCCGAGGTCACAGGTGACTTTTTCAGTATAAATATTCGACCTGCGCATGAGCGAGACAGAAGATATCCAGTGTGAAGCACTGCCTCTGGCGGTCAGTAAGGATGAAATAGAACATATATGTATATATATTTTTTTTTTTTTTTTTTTTTTGCAGCTAAAGTAATATGTAAGGTCCTTGTAATGACATTCCACTTTCCTCTGTGTTTTCCAAAGAGTAGCTTAATTACACACAGTAATTTGTAACTGATCTACTGTATATAGTCACGAAATGTACAATGCAGGTTGTTTGTTTGCATTTGGCACTCTGGGTTATGTCCACAAGTTGGTGGTAAGGGTGCAGCAGATGACAGGGATGCCAAAGGGGAAAAGAAGCTAAAGTACTTGCTCGAGTCTGCTGTGTTTGTGCAATATGAGGAGGTCATTACATCTGCCACCTGAACCTTGAGGTGTGGTATTGTGTTTATATTGTTTCTAAATGTTAACTACATAAAAGTACTTAAATGTGTGTTTCAGTGGTCAAGAGAAGATATATGACATCATCTCTGAGACAGTGGCCAGTGACTTCCCCCTGTGGTTCAGTAAAGTGATGAGTTACGTCACTAGCCCTGTCGTAGTGCTGCCAGCACTGTTGCTGCTGTTGTAAGACTAAACACACACACACACACACACACATACATTCCTACATTAACAACAGTGGATTATCACACTACTCCAACCAAGTGTGGACTCCTGTTTCTGGTCTTTTTGACAAAACAAAAATAGAATAGAAATTTTACTTGTAAAGTCTTTTCCCACAGAATTACTGCAAATGAAATCAAAGGGTTTTAGACAGGAGTTTAGGGTGATTTAAAGCATGACCGAGAGGGGACTTCCAAAATATCCTCTGTTGCACACACACACACACACACACGCACACACACACACACACACACACACACACATCTTATGATTTGTCCTTGTGTGTTTCAGCATGCTGATATACTATCTCCAGGCCATTGCCAGATCCCTCAAATTCACCAACAACCAGCTGAGGATGCAGCTCCAGACTGTAAGTTTCTGACGAATCATTCGCAGAGTGGGTAAATGGTAAATGGACTGTACTTGTACAGCGTTTTTCTAGTCTTCCGACTACTAACAGCACTTTCACACTACATGTCAACATTCACCCATTCACACCCATTCATAAACTGATGGCAGGGGCTACCATGCTGTATTTATTTTCAACATGTATGCTTTGTAAGACACAATATAGTCCATGTCGACGTTTCCTTGGGCAAGACACTTAATGTCTACATCCCTCTCGCACATTTGCATTTAGCAGGTTTGGTTGCCCCATATGAAAGGAAGAATACGGCAGGAATATGATCAATTATATTGACCGGTGATAATTCATTCGAGCTGTCTTCAAGGAGCTTCTTAAAATTTAGTTTTGTGGGTCCAAAACAATAAAGGCAGAATAATACTGGATTTTTGATGGCGATAGGATATCAATATTTTAGAACAAGAAATCAGACGAAATCAAGCAGATTCACCAGAAACTCTTTCAGCTCAGACTCCAGCAGGGCCTCCAGCAGAGACCAGCCCACTGCCAATTGACCCAAATCCGCCAATGCTGCCGGTAGAGCAGGTCGTCTTTCAATCAGAAGATCGGCTCGATCCCCTGCACTTACAGTCCATGTCGACGTTTCCTTGGGCAAGACACTTAACCCCAAACTGCTCCCGAAGGCCGTGTGGATGCTTAGTTATGGATAGTAATAGATAGTGGCACCTTGCAGAGCCCATGCCATCAGTGTATGAATAGAAAGACGCTATGAAAGCTTTTCTAAAGGGACTCTGGTGCTCGTAAAAACACTACCGCTTTTGTCCAAAGGGACCGCCAAAATGAAAGTGGCTTGTAGTAGCTTTAAGTAATTTTAAGCTAAAATGTAGAAAATATTTAAGGTGGAATTTTCCTTTAATCTCTTTAGGAGCGGACCGAGGACAAGAAGAAAGTCTTCCAGCTGGCTGCAGGTATCTCTGGAGTTTTTTTCACGTGTCCTGTGTGTGTTCCATTATTTCTTGTAGTGTCGTGACCCTCACCCTGTAACATTTACCCCATCTTAGCGAGATTACAGGCTCCAGAGGCTGTGGCTGACCAAAAGCCGGATCAGCAGGAGAGTGACATCACGAGCCAGGAGGCCTCCATTCACACTCCATCTCCCCGACGGAACGGCAGCGTTACAAATTTTAGTTCTCCTGTTCGTCATGGAAACAGCATCCGCACGATCACCCAATCAGCTTCTAGGGCGGACCTGAACAGAGGAAGTGTGGCTGGATCAGTCAGAAGTCCAACAGTGACCATACTGCCTAAACACAGGCCGGAGCACATACCCAACAGGTCTGACACACACTGATATTTTGGTTTAGCCAATCACATTGTCTAAAGACAACATGATTATATGATGGATCTATACAATTTCATTGATTAGGAATTTATTGTAGGATTGATAAATAGTGAAGATATAGCCAATGGAGATGTCTTAAACTAGATTGTAGTTTTAGGGTTCTTTTACAACCTAACCTGTTTGGTTTGGTTAAAACAAACTCTGTTTGCCCGGGTAGTACGGTTCCTTTGAAAGCTGTTAATTGAACCCTTATAGTGCGTTCACACCAAACGCGGTGCAAATTATTCGCGCGAGTAGATTACATTCAAAGTCTATGTACAGACACGATGAGACTGGAGTGACGCAAATTCACGGCGCGATTGACGCAAATTCGCAGCCAGCGTGATTGGCGCGAATTCACGTCAAACGGCAAATCGCCCCATCCGAGCCCCATTGAGAAGACAAGTACAAATTGGCATCATTACGTAGTTATTTTGGAGTCCCTTTTTGTCAGTTTATTGCCGTTAAATCACAGCCAAATCAGTTTATTTTGTGTTCATACAGCTGTAGTAAACAGCGACGTGTGGCTTGCTAGACACAGTGAATACAGCTCGATAAAATCCACGGAGCTCCTCTGGACAATATTATGAACCCAGACATGACGGCGTTTAGTTTCCCGGGATATCTGTGACTTCCACAACACGTATTAAGCAGAAATAGGTTATTTTTTCCATGGTTAATGGCGGACAGTTGAACGGCTTTCAGGGCAATAAGCCACGCCCCCTCTCCGGCGCGTCCAGCGTGATTCACGGGAATGAACACAAATAGCCCCCGGCAAGACCGATGGAGCGAATACGCGGCGCGAACACGGCATTAGTGGGGCTTGGTCTATTTTTTTCCTCCAAATAATTAGCCTGTTAATGTATATTTTATTTTCGTGAGTACTTTCATATAGAATGCAGAAGAAGAAGGAAAAAGCGACGCAATTCTTTTTCCGGAACAAGGCTGATTTTTCTGAGCTTACGTACCTCAAATAAAGGCATCAATCAATCATGTTGTGTGAAACGTACATGTTAAAAATATGCACTATAGCGTGCAACAACACAGAGGCTCCGTACCAAGACAACAACAAACTTTATTAATCCTTTCAACCTTGGCAAAGGCAGAGCAGACCAGATCCACTCCTTCAAGTCATACCTTTTACAATAAAAGCTAGATACAGTGCGTAACCATTTATTTTCTTTAAGCAGATTCTGCATTCACATGTATAATCCCTAGGCAACGGGACAAGAATTGGCAACGGAAGCATTTTGGTGTCCGATTGTAGTCTGTTTAGTATTGACTAATCACTTTCAGCAGGCTTTGGTTGAATGCAGGTAAATAGACTGTGTGGAGAGAAAAAGAGGCGGAACGATTTGGCAGAAATGTAATCTGTGAACCGGCTACACCAGAACCCAGAAATATAGATGGGTTCGAAGATTTCTGTTTACCAGAAGGAACACTCAAATTCACTCAGCAGGAAGCTCAATACATTAACTTACAGGAGTTTAAACTATACAACAATTTTCCTCAGACTGCCAGAAGCTGCCCTGGGTCAATCGGATCCCGGGTGGTGGTCCTCTGCCTGCCCAAATGTACTAAAAGCTTTTATTGAAACAGTGTCTTATCGCTGCTGGTATGAATAGTTTGAATGTTATTTTGCAATTTACTTTTAGCATTACTCGTCCAATCCCGTTTTGTTAATCATCTTGGCCTTAAGATGCTTTTGGGAAACAAGGCCCTGGCCAAACGCTGGTCATTGACACTGTAGCTCAAGCTATAGCAGCTTGCTACATTTCTGTAGTTATGTAACATAATGTGGTATTTACAGAAAGACCGACTTCTTGGTTGATCATTTTGAAGAGCTTAAAGCTTTTCAAACATCAAAATGTTAGTGCTTCTTAATTAAGGTTTGTCCAAGTGTTAGTGACAGTCAATACTATATTAAAATATTACTTTCAAGGTGTGTTAGGATTGTTACAGAACAGGTTTAGGGCAACGAGAAAAATGTATTTGAGTTATTTAGAAGAATCTGAGAAAAGTCAGAGTTCTGAGTTCAAATTCAGAAGTCAAATACATTTTTTTAATATTTGAAAAAAGAAAATCTGACTTTGAACTTAGAATTCTGACTTTAAACTCTGAACTCATCATTTTTCACATGTTGTCTGAACTCAAATACATTTTTCGTAGATTGTAGATAATGTTTATCCAATTTATAATTACAATTGTGACTCCTGTGAAGAGATGTTGCGATTTTTATATAAAAACGATTCATTGTTCAGTCCTACGCTGAATACTTGTAAGTTACGGGAATGTTTTTTGGCATGAAAAAGGTCCAATTTAAACCTGCTGAATATTGGCTTTAAAGGAACATATCAGTGTTTTGTTTAAAAACATTTTGACCAAATAGCATATACATTACATCACTGCTGACCAATATGCAAATCATACCAAAGTTGTTTTTTAAGTGTTTATTCAAGCTTGCTTTACTGTTTGACCATGTTTAATTATCCATTACAGTGAACAATATGTCCCCTTATATTTTGTCAGAATTGCATTGCAAACATTTGATAAAGCATTATGCAATGATAACATACCAACAATAATATTACATCATAGTTATCTAAGTTCATTCTTATGTGTTGTCCTCTCTTGTAACAGGCCCCCACCCTTTCTTGGTGGCCCTAGTGGTACCTGCAGGTCCAAATCCTACCACCAAGTGGCATATAATCTACCAGCTCGCTATTCTGACAACATCCACTCTGACCCCCTGTACAGGAAGGCCATACGCTCCATACATCCAGTCGAGGCTGCCGGGATCATCACTGCACAGAGTTATGGAGGACGGCGCGGTCACACCACCCGCTATGTGATTGTCAATGAGCCCAGGAAGAAACTGCTGCGCTCATCCACACGGATCCCACGCCATTACCTCATGGAGGAGCCTGCAGAGATCCTCGAGTTGTACCCACGCAACATCAAACGCTACACACCCCGCAACGCTCACCACCAACCACATCCTCACCGGTCCAACCCATCGCATCAGCATCTGAGTGAAGAGGAAGAGGAGGAGGAAGAGGGAAAAGGCAGGAGAAGGATGGCGTCAAAGGCTCATCGGCCCCGGTCCCTCTCTGACCTTCACCAGCCGCCACACTTCTACATTGGGGACCGTGTAGAGGGCCACGTGTCTGTGGTTAAAGGCGGTCACACTCGAGCTCGGGGCAGATATGGAGTGCAAGGAGAGGGTGAAGGGGAGGATGGTGAAGGAGAAATGGACTGGGGAGATTTAGAGTCAAACTCCCGGGCCCAGGCCAATGTGAGAGGAGCAGACTCGCTCCTTGTACGAACCAGGCGTCACATCCATTCCCCAGGAAGACATTGTCAGTCCCCGGCCAGGACCAGGCACATGGAGTGTTTTGTGAAGCCCAAGACCAGACCAAAGCTAGAGACCCCTCTGACCGAGTCAGACTCAGCTTCCCTGGCCTCCAGCAGCGACCAGCAAAACAGCAGCACTGACCAGTACATTCAGGTCATCCACAACAAGGAACACCATCTCAAGACTGATGCCGGGCAAGGGAAGCTGGCCAAAAAGAAGTCCAAAACCAGCTTTGATCTAAATGTCATTGAATCAAATGACCTTGTCTGCTCAAATGTATGACATCTTTGCTAAAATGATGTATTCTGTTAAAATGTGTCTCGGAAAATCAAAGATATATACACTACTAGTGGTTAAAAGGGTACAATGATTTGAAAGCACAACAAGAATATTATCATAAATGTGATATTTTCTTCTTCTCCGATGTGTGTCCATGTACATCAGATAATTAAATGGGTTGTTGTAGCATTGTGTATAACAATCAAACCATACTGCACTGAAGCTATAACAGCTATGGAACACACCGTTGACATAACACCTGCTTCCCATCCAATCACAATAGAATCGATAATCATTTTTCATTGATCCGTCCTGCACATTGACTAAGCAGCATTTCGGATGGAATGACATGAACACTACAATTCCCAGCTTGCTCTGCTGCAACATACGAGGACTCCAGCTGCAGGTGCATGATGCCATCAAGATTACGAGAAAGAGTCGGGGATTTTTGCCTTCAAAATAAGATACTTGGTACTTTTCGCTTACGTAAATGTTTTGCTGTGTTAAAAAACAATATCAACATTCTTGAATAAATCACTGAACACATTGAAAATGTAATGAAAGATTTGTAATAGCGCATGGTACATTTTCATAAATGCTTAAGTATGTGAGATGGAGTTTTCTTTTGAAAGCTATACCGGCAAAAAAAAAAATCTCTGAATGATTTGACACCGCTGCTAACAATTCTTATATTTCAGGGAATTCATTCAAATAGTTTCGAATTGAAACGTTCTGGCCGAGACAGGTGTGGGCTGTCGCACGGCCATAAAGGGTTTACAGTGAACAGCAACTGGCAGAGTTGTCATATCCATTAGACACGTGAGCTAGCTGCTTGTTAGTGAACGACGCGGGCATTGCATAGCACATTTCATTCATTTTGGCTAACGCTAGCTCTGTAGTAGCGGTTCTACTTGCTCATGTTAAGTAACTTCAATTGTCGCTGCTGCATTTGAGTCGCACAACTCAGCTACAGTGTCTCTTTGAGTTTCTGTTGAGTTAAAAGATAACAGGATATCGTGTATCCACCATTAGCCGCTGTGCCGTCAGTTAACGTTAATGCCAATTGAATTAACGCTAGGTTAGCAAGGTAACGTTAATTTACACCAACTACTATGGATTATGAACATAAAGCGAAGGCAGTGGGTGACTGCTTGCTGGGTTACAAGACGGATGAGTCTGGCTGGAAAGTCTGCAAGAAATCGGTAAATCTTTTCTGTTACTAATGTCTGATATGGAATCGTACGACATGTAACGTTAATATCCACTGTGCGCTGACGCATGCTGTTCTCTGGTGTGGTCACAGAGCACCAGCGGGTAGCTCCATTGTTCGGTGTTAACGTTTCTTGATTCATTGCTCACCGACTAGGTTAGCTTGCGTCACGTGACGGAACTTTAGAATCAGCTCTTTAGTTAATTCTGCACGTGTAACGTTAAAGGAACTCTTGGTTCTGTACAGACTTGGAGAACTCATTGATGTTAGTTCCTACAGATCTGCTAGTGAGTGCTGGTGGCTCAGGGTCTGCTTGAGACAGACTCTTCCTCCCTTTTCCAAGTCACAATACATGAGATGGTGAATTAGTTTCAGGTTATCGATATTCAGCATATATATATAGTCAGTTTAACAGAGCTAAACTAAAGTTGTGATGCTCTCTCTACAGGAGATGACGACGCAGTCCTCAACAACAAACAGACATCATGCATTGTCTGTTCCACCTCTGACTGTTGCAATACTATTTAAAACATCACTACAACACTGACCCTTTACAGTGCCAGCACTGCTTAACATACTGCAAAAGCTCCTGACAATGGTGCATCACCTCATACTGGCCTCTGTCACACTCGCGCTCCTCAAGACTGCAGAAAGACACGACCTATGACCTCTTTTGCCTTTTTGAAATATGTTGTGTGTTTACCAGGGCTGTTCATTACACTAAAGCAAATGTAGCTCACTGTAAATTGTTTTCTTTGGCAGAATGATGTGGTTGTGTCTTGGCGTCCCTCATCGGAGTTCCCAGGGAATGTGTGAGAAACCTCAACTTCTTTTGTTTTTCTCATCACGTTTAGATTTCATCAACAGTTGAACACAATGCATCATATCTGTAGATGGAACTTTTCAGGTCATGTGACGGTAAACACAAGAATCGGGACATCAGTCAGGGCTTGTGTTTACAAAGCTACCTTTCCTTCATAGTATGATATCTAAAACTGCAGACAGTTTAAAATCACCATGCTACTTAATCTTTTACATGATATTCAAAAGATATTATTAGATGCTACCAGCAGATACTTTAATACCACTTTTCAAGATACTTAGATTGTCAAATGTGGTTTGAACACAGTTTTGTATGAAAGTCAGACATTTCAAGTTCCAATTGTCGCAGAGTTGTGAACGTATGAGGGGTGAAAGAAACATAAATTCATTGGTAAAAATAGAGGTGCTAAAAATGCATGTGTTTCAAAAAATGCAACCATAAAAGATGGTTGTGAAATAAGTAATGGAGTGATATGAACACAGAGCCATGTTTCATAATTTCCCCTGTCTTGCATTCATCATTCACAACACAAATTTGTAATTTAGCATTTAAAAAAGTGGCCTCAAGGATGGGAGTGATGAAGTGATGAAAATGTTTACCAATTAATAATATAAGTGATTACAGAAAGTACCAACATTCAAATCTAAGTTTAACCTTTGATGGAAGGAGTCATTGCCCGGGTAGATCTCGTTCATCGTTCTGAAATGAACTTCTTTTGCCATAAGTGGACTTCTGAAATACAGGGAACTAGTTCAATTCTATTCTATTCGACTCAGTTTATTTTTGTATAGTCCAAAATCCCAAATTTGTTTCAGAGGGCTTTACAATCTGTACACATGTGACATCCTCTGTCCCTCACATCGGAACAGGAAGAACTCCCCCAAAAAACCCTTTAACGGGGAGAAAAGAGGGAGAGACCTTAGAGAGAGGAACAGAGGAGGATCCCTCTATTAGGATGGACAGAAGTGCGATAGATATCATGTGTACAGAATCAACATAACAGAGTTACAACATATTCTATGCATAATTTATTTATTAAAATCCCTCTAATAGAATCCGTCATCAGGTGTTGTCTCATGCAAACCTGATGCAACTAATCAAGGGCCTCATTATTTGCATCAGGTGTGCTTGAGATAGAACACATCAAATACCTGGACTGGTAGTGACGTTTGATTGCATATTAGAAATATGGGTAAGTCAAGAGAATTGTCCAAAAAGAGATCATTGCTACAAAAAGATAGCAAAGGCACTGAATGTTGCTAGACACCATTGGAAGCTGGCTACACTACCTGGACGTGGCAGAAAGAGGAAGCCATCAACGGCTGCCACCAGATTTCTGAGGAGGCAGGTAGCCAAAAACCCTCGAGTGACTGCAAAAGACTTGGTGGCAGCAGGCACTGAGGTTTCAGTTTCCACAGTAAGGCTAAACGCTGAAGGTCTCCATGCCCCAACTCCAAGACGTACACCACTACTGACCCAAAAGCACAAGAAAAGTCGGCTCCAATATGCTCATAACCATATTAATAAGCCACAGAAGTTTTGGGTTTCTCTTCTGTGGATCAGCGGTATGTCTGGAGGAGGAAGAACGAAGCATGCGCTGAGAAGAACACCCTGCCTACATTCAAGCATGGCGGTGGCTCGGTGATGCTCTGGGGCTGCTTTGCTTCTTCTGGAAACCTGCAGTGTGTGGAGGGCAAGATTGATTCAATCAAGTATCAGGAAAAAAAAAAAGCTTTGGTGTCATTGGACCTTCCAACAAGACGATGATCCCAAGCATACCTCAAAGTCCACCAAGGCTTGGTTTCAGAAAAAGTCCTGGAAGATTCTGGAGTGGCCGTCACAGTCGCCTGACTTGAACCCCACAGAAAATCTCTGGTGGGATTTGAAGAAGGCGTTTGCAGTGCGCAAACCCAAGAATATTGGAGAGCTGGAGGCCGTTGCCCATGAGGAATGGGCTAAGATTCCTCAGGAACGCTGACAGAACCTGGAGTCTGGCTTTGCATCAGGTCATAACAGCAAAAGGGTGCTCTAAGTACTAAAGATGCTCGTCATGAAGAAGTTGAACCATTTTGAGGCTGCAGTAGTCATGAACAATGTCATTTTGTTTTGTCTTAAATTAGGAGAAACCACTTGTAGTATTGCTTGTGTTGAGCTATTTAAATTGTTCTTTGAGATTTTGTCAATAAACCTAATTTGCAATGGGGGTTGAATAATTGTGAGTGCAATTGTATGTTTCCTCTTCAAGGGTGGAAACTGATGAATAGTCCTTAATCTGTTATTGCATTATTTCATCTTAAAAGCTACATCCATCTATAACTGATGAAGGTGTTTTTGTAATGACCACATGATAACCTGGTTTTCCTTTTGATTCAAAAGTATCAATGCTCGCAGCATTGTCTTAATTACTGTGTCATATTACCTTTTAGTGCAAACAACATTATTTCTCAGTGAAAGTATTATGTCCAAACCATTATCATATAACTATATAATAAACCAGATACCTTTTTACCTCCATTCTTTGTCTTTATTAACATGCTTGTATTAGTCCATATTGGGACGCTTTTGTGGGGTAAAGTTCTACTTCTATATTTTCCCATAACCCCCTGACTAACTGGCTCTGCTGTTGAGATGAGAAGAAAGGAGAGGGCTCACTTGTGAGCTCCATCATCTGCTCACCAAAAAGTCTTTTTCGTTCAGAATGTTATCGATTATGACTTTTATAAGAAACTTATGAACACATCTCTGGTAAACACAAAACGTAAAGAGGGGATTTTGTGATTCTTTACGGAGAAACCTATTTTTACAGATCTGTCTATCAAATCAACGAATCAATCAGTCAAAAAAAAAACCTCTTTAAATGTATATGTGACACTTATTCACCTCAATGATACGTTGTCATTTATTTATTATCCCTGGACTTTAGTTGCTCTTGTGTGTCAGCAAGATTTCTGCTCATGTTCAAAACTTTATATTCAAAACATATAGGTGTTTTCTGAGAATGAAGAATAAAGTCGTAATAAATAAATCGCCCTGCCTTATAAAACAATCTAACAGAAAACACTTGTAATTAGGCATAACTCTCACTGTCATGTCTGATTGTCTACACAAATGTTAACTTCACCACCAAGTACAGGCTATAGATCCACTCATAAACATTCAAACCGCAGTGTTTGTGCTAATGAACCATAACTATTCCATAAGCACCTTTTAATCCCAAAAGAGATAAGCCAACTCAAATTTTAACTCAGTCATTAGAAATCCAAGAAACCATCAAATATATATATATATGTATGTGTATGTGTATGTGTGTGTGGATATATGTATGTGTGTATATGTATATGTGTATATATGTATGTGTGTGTGTATATATATGTGTGTGTGTGTATATATATGTGTGTGTGTGT